CACTAAAAGTATAAGATTTGTCTCCTAATTATTTAGGTGTTTTAGCTTATTGAAGTGCTAATGCTTGGTTAAATGACTTGAATGATAAGAATATGTTTATTAAACTATTTTAATTTTTGTTAAAACATCTTATTTTATCTCTGTATTTTGTTATCTTTAAGGATTTTTTCTAGAAGAAGAAAACAAGCCCAGATTCATACAATGAATAAGTCTTTGCAAATCCTCTTCATGAGACACATTTTGTTAACTGTAAGCTAGGTTGTCTAACGCAAAAACTGGAACTGTAAGTAATCTTCCTTGCTTCCTAACAGATAACAATCAGAATTCCCAGGATAACTGAAGTATTTGTTAAGAAGTGTGCTGGTTTTATCATTTAAAATCTTCCTCAGGTCACTACCTGAAGATTTGTTCAAATGGATGCTTCCCACTTTTCCAAGCCGGAGCCCACCTAGTAACCAGATTCCAGCTGATTTCAGTAAAGTGGAGGGGTATGGTTCAATCAATCAAGTGAAAGTTCACCAGTGGCTGGTTTTCAAGTTCAGTTCCTCTTCTACTGTTTACAATTCTAATTGTACCGAGCCTACATTGAACCATTGTATTTTGGTTTGTTTGTTTTTTAAGAAACAGAATGGTCTCCCTATGTACATCCAGAGTAGCCCCTCAAATAAACTACATACTTCAATTTTTTTGTGGTTCAGTTATTTTAACAAATTGAGCGCTAAAGAAGTTACCGACAGGTGAGTGGGCATATAGCATGTGCACACAAGTCAGAAACAGGAAGATGTCTACATGTTCTGAGTCACCGGGGACACACCTTTCTTAAGAATACTAATAGGACTGGCTTGTCTACAGATAGGAATTGGGCAATGGTGTAAATAAAGAGAAATAGAAAAAGCAAGTCACACATTTACACAAAAAGTTAGAGAAAGAGTCATGGACTTCATTTCATTGCCAAGAGATGGGGTGGGGGTGGGGGAGGTAGCTCATCCAATTTAGCTCTTAATGCCTTAAAGTGTCCTAGAAGGTTATTTGGAATAGTTGTAAAATATGCAAAGGTCAACCTCAAAACTAATGGGAACATTGAGTTCAATCAATAGTGCATTAATTTAAATTCTTTTAAATGGCTTTCTTCCCATCCAAGCTAACCACAGAAGTAACTTCTACCCACATTTTCCAAGGACACTAAATTCACTGAAAAGAAAAAAAAAAGTAGGAGGAGAAGAAGAAATAAGAAGGAGGAAAGAGAGCAGCCCTTGTCTCACCTCTGGTTCTTCTGATTCATCTCCTCCGAGGGGAGTTTCCTGAAGATCAAAGATGCTATTGCTGGATGCCCTCCTGGCCTTGGCCGCAGCAGGGAACGCACAGGGTTCCTCCGAGTCCATCCCGGCCACATCGGCGTGGTCAGCTCCTCCCTGGTTCCAATCCAGGTCTTTTTCAGACTGTTTCAAAGTGCTGCTGCTAGTCTTTGTTATCCCTGCAGTTGACAGGCTATTGGGCACCGAGGTGTAGGATGATTGGGGCCCAGAGTAAGGCCTACCCTCTGTAGCCAACGTCCCCGCCTCCAGTATATCAGGAACGGAGAGGCTCAGGCGACGGTCCAGGTGATGAGTTGCCTGTAAATCTAGGGGCTTGTTGGTGCTCTTTTTCGCCTTCTTCTTGCTCAAATTGATTAACAAAGGCCTGGTCCGCTGTTTAAAAGAGCCCCAGACAGATGGTTTATCCAGATCCATAACTGCATGAAGACCCAGAAATTCACTCCTTCACAGAGTGTGTTTCTGTACAACACAACTTCATGGACTCCTATAAAACAGAACAAAAGGAGAACACATGAGCCTCCTCAGTCGTGCCAGGGCACATCCGGGGGAAATACTACTCACAACACCCCACACTTTTCACCAAGTCATCATGATGGAAGCATTTGAGTGGTATTTTCTTAAACAGTAGTAAAAGCATTGTTTTAAAAACCTAAATTTTAAGGAAAGAGGGTGCCAACTAATCCAAGTATATAAAGCATTGAGCAAATCAGCTGCACACACCACCTTTACAATGTTTAAGAGCAACGACGTCACTTCTAGGGCTGAGATGCAATCGAACCAAGCCTGGTTCCTTTCAATCGCTATGTATGCATGTGCCAACGGAAAAATGGATAACGAAAACAAACAAACAAACAAAAAACAATTGAAGCATTTGAGTAATGGTGCTGGCAACGTAGGCTGAAAGTACCACAGACTGACAGAAGAACAAACAATCTGTCTTGGAGGCAGTCCAGCCAGGGTGACCCATAGAAGGCCGGAGTACTGCAGCTACCAGGAGGGACTCGCGTACTGCAGCTAGAAAGGGGCACCGTGCTTAGTAATATGGAGGATTAGTGAAAAAGAAGACCCTCAGGGAGATCACCTGACAAGGTGTCTGCAAAAATGTGGTCCAATATGACAACGATTGTGAGGCTGGTGCAAGACTAACCTGTATTTTGCTCAGCTGTGCATAGTAACATCCTAAGTCAAAACTACCTAGTCTGCATCTACTACCAAATTCTACGATGTTTTGTTGGGGTTATCATAGAAAAGTTAAAGCAAAGAAATAGCTGGATGAGGGGTTGAGGGGGATGGAATCTTCATAAGAAGGTTACTTACTTATTTCCTCTTTGGGGAAAACAGACCTAAGGAGATTTACTATAAACACAAAGCAGCTTTTAAACTTCATGATCTAGGGGGATACGCTCTACTCTTCTAAGCAACATTTTCCCTAAAGGGCAAGTTAGTAAACAGTTTAAACTTTCCAAGTCAATTTGTGCTTGACTCAACTTCTAAACTGCTATTGTGGAAGAAAAACTGACAGACAATAATTCCTACATTAATCGGCTTGGCTGTGCTTCAGTATGAAAACAGGGGTCACGGCCATCTTGGTCTCCCTCCGTCCAACACATTTTCTTTGTTACTTTACTAGACTTTAAATTCCAATGTACTTGGTTTGTGGAAGTCTGCAGTTTACAGTAAGAGCCCTAGCTCCAATGTCAAGTTTTGATACAAATTCTGACACCATGTTATTTTTTAAAATTATTTTATTGGAGGCTCGTACAACTCTTATCACAATCCATATACACATCCATTGTGTCAAACACTTTTGTACATTTGTTACCCTCATCATTCTCAAAATATTTGCTTTCTACTTGAGCCCTTGGTATCAGCTGCTCATTTCCCCACTTCCCCCCTCCCTCCCTGTTCCCCCCTCCCTCATGAACCCTTGATAATTCATAAATTATTATCTTGTCATATCTTACACTGTCTGACGTCTCCCTTCACCCACTTTTCTGTTGTCCATCCCCCAGTGAGAAGGTTATATATAGATCGTTGTAATCGGTTCCCCCGTTCTACCCTACCTTCCCTCCACCCTCACAGTATCGCCACTCTCGCCACAGGTCCTGAAGAGATCATCTGTCCTGGATTCCCAGTGTTTCTAGTTCCTATCTGTACCAGTGTACATCTTCTGATCTAGCCAGATTCGTAAGGCAGAAATGGGATCGTGATAGTAGGGGGGAGGAAGCATTTAAGAACTAGAGGAAAGTTGTGTGTTTCATCGTTGCTACACTGTACCCTGACTGGCTCGGCTCCTCCCCGCAACCCCTCTGCAAAGGGATAACCAGTTACCTACAGATGAGTCTTGGGTCCCCAATCTGCACTCCCCCTCATTCACAATGATATCTGTTCTTTGATGCCTGAAACCTGATCCCTTCAACACATCGTGATCACACAGGCAGGTGTGCTTCTTCCATGTGGGCTTTATTGCTTACCAAAAAAAAGACAAAGGTGTGAATTGGGTGTGGATGTGCAGTTCTGTTGCTATATCATCTTGCATGTAGGTGAGTTAATACAAATATACAGTTAATACATTTGTCAAATCTGCAATTCCATTCTTGGAAACATTTTTCAAACACATCTGTTTGGATGGCTGACAGCACCTCCCTGGTTTTTTTCTTCACCTCTTCTACATCCTCAACCCACTGTCCTTTCATGTCTCTCATCATTCACGGAAACAAAATGAAGTCGCACAGAGTGAGGTCAAATGAGTAAGGTGTGTGGAGCAAGAAAAGCATGCTGTTCTTTGCCAAAAACTGGCGCACGGAGATGGCTGCATTGTCGTGGTGGCAAAACTAGTCCCCCGTCTGCCACAAATCAGGCCTTTTTGTCACACATTGTTACACGCTATCTTTTCAGAACTCTAAAATAGAAAACTTGATTAACATTCTGAAATTTGGAACGAGCTCCAAATGCACTACGATTGGACATTTCACCCATTCAGGAAGCTGATGGCCGTTCAGAATGAGGTTTGTCATTAATCAACATTTCACCTCTTTTGAAATGAGAGAACCACTCATACACTTGAGTATTTCCCACAGAGCTGTCCTTGTAAGCTGTGTTAACATCACAACAGTGTCTGCAGCATTTTTCCAGAGTGGGGAACAAAATTAACAAACTTTCACACGCCCACCCTGTTCTCTTAAATCACCCATCACACAAAAATGAGGCTTGCGCAAAACTTCTTTGAAAACAATTCACTGTGAGTAGAGAGAACGGGCACTAACTCGTAGTTGCTCGATGATCATCTAGTGGGGAACGTGGATACGACCACAACCCAGCTCGCCCAGGGCAATTCCAGGTACCCCCATGTATTCCTTTGTTGGAGCAGTTGGTGGTTTTAAACTACTAATCTTGCAGTTAGCAGCCTAATATGCCTTTAACAAAAGCAAGCTGAAGATCATCAGTTTGAGGAGTACGACGGAAGAAAGTGTATCTCACAGCAGTTGGGTGTGAGTGGCTGGAATGTCTCACAAACTAATATGCAATTATAGAGTATGGCAAACTCTGTGCAGAAAAGTGGATGCTTTGAGATCTAACAGGTCAGACTCACCAGGAATCCAATCGAAACCCAATTTGGAGAAATAATCTCTTATTCTATGTGTCAAGGACTTCATAACAAATCCTCCAATATAAAAAGGAACAGTTTGGTCAGCCCACTCTGACCTGACATGCACTCACACTGTCCCATTTAGTTTTAGGGAAAAGAGGCCAAATCACTTGGAAAATTTTATTTTGCAAAGTGAAGGGCTCCAGGCTTTGGACCCCAGTCTACCAAACTCCAGGAGGGAGTATTTAGTCAATGAGAATAACAGACTAGATAGCCAACAAATCTGAGAATATGTGGCCATTGACCCACTGTCACCAAGTCAATCCTAATTCAAAGAAATCTTAGATAGGGGTTGAAAGGTTATAAATGTTTGGGGGTTGAAAAGTTATAAATGTTTAGCCTCATCTTTTTACTGAGGAGTAGCTGATGGGTTTGAACTGCATACCTTGCAGTTATCATTCAATCATTAGACCATCTAAATCTACATTTCTCGCCTGATGGCCTCAACACTGGGAGGGCTCTTCCCAGGATTAATTCAGAATCCTCAGGGTATAATGTAGAACCGAGAGATTACAGTCTAGAGATTGTCTCTCAATGCAAAGTCCTCTTCTGATATTCCAGCCGGATGGATAGTCAAGTGCAAATGACCTCTTTAGGGTTCCTTGTTGTCACTTTGGAGGAAGAATTGGCTCAACAGGATATACCAACAATGGAAGGATTTTAAATCGCTGGGGCAAAGAGCCAATGTGCTCAGGTGCTAAGATAAAGGTTCAAGTCCACCCAGAGGCATTTTAACAGAATGGTATGGCCATCTACTAGCAGAAAATAACTGCGGACGATCTCACAGAGCACAGTTCGGTTCTGCCACAGAAGAGATCAGAACTAACTTGATGGAAACTGTGCTGATACAGAGGGACAACACAAACCAGCCTAAAAAGAAATATATATGAAATACAGTGCTAGTACAGAAGCAATGCCCCATGGGAGGAAGTTATATTTAGTATGATTATGTTGTTATGATTCTTAGGTTTGATATTTTGGGGGAAATTACTTCAAAACTGGATAGTTCATTATATTTCTATCTTTCAGATGGGACGAGTACAAATAAAATGCTGAGCGTGGTGCGTAGCACATTTGGCAAGGTTAATTATTTTGAGTAGTATTAATATTTTTAATTAGCCAGACACGTATTTTACTAGGCCAGAAATGACAAATTCAAGAGAAATTTGTTGTAAAAAAGGCACTTCAAGATCTATCTTGATTTACAGTGCTGTCCCGGACAGGATAATATATCTATACACCTTCAAGGAAATTCCATTAATATAACTCCTCTCTGAATTTACCCATCAGTCACTAAAGTTAAAAATGAGGAAATTAATGAATTCTATCAACTTCTCCATTAGGACACTGATCATACGTGCAATCATGATGCTTTGTTAATTACTGGCTATTAGAATGTGAAACTTGAAAGCAAAGAGGAAGGAGCAGTGGTTTGAACATAAAGTCTTGGTGACAGAAGCAAAGCTGGAAATGGTAGGGTAGAATTTTACAAGACCAACAACTCCTCATTGTAAGTATCTTCTTTCAACAGCATTAAAGATTACGTACACTTGGACTTCACCAGATGCAATACACGGAAATCAAACTGACTACATCTGTAGAGAAGCTCAATGTCAGAAGATAAATGAGGCCAGGGACTAAAAGACCATCAACTGCTCATATGTAAATTCAGGTTGAAATTGAAGAAAATTAAAGTAAGTCCATGGGAGCCAACAGGCAAGCATGAGTATACCTTATCTGAATGTCAAGACTATCTCAAGAACAGATTTGACATCTTGA